GAGAGAGAGAGAGAGAGAGAGAGAGAGAGAGAGAGAGAGAGAGAGAGAGAGAGAGAGAGAGAGTCGTCACGCACTAGAGACGGGCATGAGGCAGCGGCTCGCACGCACAGGAGGGAAGTCCGAGATCGAGAAAACCTCGAGCCTTCGGGAGCTACTGAGGGGAGGGGAGGCAGCGAAACCAAAGCGCACGTCGGCGCCTAGGGCTCGAGCTGCGTCTGCGAGCCTCTGCCATCGCTTATTCTCACACTAGAGCTTGGCCCTGGGCAAGGCCCGGGTTCGGGCGAGGTTGCGGGAAGGAGAAGAGGGACGGGGGTTGCACCTGATACGGGAGGACGCACAGGGGCGCCGAAGACAAACTCGACACGGAGGCCCTCGAGAGAGAGGGAGGGAGAGGAAGAGAGAAGGGAGGGAGAGAGAGAGAGAGAGCGAGGGCAAGAGCGAGGGAGAAAAAGGAAGGGAGAGAGAGAGGGGGGGAAGAAAGAGTGAGAGATAGAAAGAGAAGGAGAGAGAGAGGGAGAAGGGGGGGGGAGAAGAAAGGCCGGAGTGGCACGGTGATACTGCGCAGCGAGCGGAAGTGGGCGAGGCAGAGAAAGAGGAAGGAAGAGAGAGAGAGAGGAGGGACCGGGCGCCGGCGGAAAAAGTTACGACCTTGACCTTTTCAGATTGTAGCGGCTACGACCTTTACCCCCACGGGACAGACCTACGGGTCGAAACCCGACGGCTACACTGGCCTGCGACTGACAAGGCAGACAAGACAAAAAGACAGGACTGGTAGACGTCAGTAAACAGACGGACGCACACGCAGGGGCGGAGAAAGAAAGAGACAGGTTGACGACAGTTTGACACACAATCAGAAACAAAGTCAAACACACAGCCAGATACTCAAGCAAACGAACGAATAGGCAGATACATCCACATAAAGAGGGAGACAGAGAGAGAGAGATGCAGAGATACAAAGAGTGTGCGAAAGGGGGGACGAACATGCATACAAGAAAGAAGAATCGGGAGAGGAGTGAGTAACAGTCAGGAAAAGAGAGAGAGAGAAGGATCAAACAGATAGATACAAGAAACAGGCAGACACAGACAATCAGCCAAGCAGACGAAGACGGTCAGACAAGACCGATTCAGACAGACAGATACATACATATAGACATTCAGACAGACAGGCACGGATAAAGAGGAGAGTCGCCTACCCTTGATGCGGGTACTGGTATTGGGTTGCTGTGAACTACGTTGTTGGGCACTTAGTGACTAATCCCAGAAGCTGTAGTAATCTGTTAGGACTGAGCATATCCGGACTCTGCATCTCTGGTCTCGAGTGATGGATTTCGTGTGATCCCTCGACCCACCATCAGACCGGTAATAGGGAATCTTATGTAGAAGTCATCATATTACTTGTTTAACGGTTGGACTACTCACCCAAGGAAAGTAGTAGAGGGGCCTCTGTTGGGGTCTGTCTATTACCTGCTTGATTCTGATACTAACTTGCAAAGGGGTAAGGGTACTCATGTAGGAATACCCTAAACACTCGTCTTCTGTCCGAACTAACCCGGTCTCAAGACCGTCAGCTTCGGAAGGGCAACAAGATACCCTTGTTAGGATTGTCCTAATGCTCTCATGAAGAGGACCTCGTCACGTGATAGTAGGAGGCTCTTGTGCGGGTCGCCTATTATTCACGCAGACCGTTATTAACCTCTAGGAAGGGAATGATGTCCAGATCTTTCAGAAGGATACCTAAAGCAAATAGTAGGGTGCTTCTGTAGGAGCCTCAATTATTTGTTGAAGGAAGGATGCTCATGTCTGAGCTATCATGCTACTCTGATTAGATCATATGTGTACATTGAGTGAGACTTAACAGGCGATCAAATACTCATGTGTGACTTACTCAACTGTCAGTTTGATTAACAGATTGCTTGGTATTGATCAAGCAGTAAGAGTTTCATGTTTGAATCAGTCTAGTACTTGAGTATGTTAACAAAAATAGAAGAGAAAGGAAGAAACAATGCTCCTGTTGGAGCAAGGTCTTCACATATCTAGAAGAGAAGCAAGGAAAAAAAGCTAGGACCGTGGAAAAAAAAAATACTAGTAGAAAAAAAATCACCGCGTAGTCCATGTCTGTCCATGGCTTTCGGGTGGAAGGCCACGACAGCAAATGAGTTAAAACTCTACTACATAAGTACCGAGGGGAATGCTTATTCTGAAAAGAGAGAAGATGCAAAGACCGAGAGTAAGGGAAATATGAGTTTCCTTAAGACGACTTAGGACATAGGCATGAGACTCCTCGAGTGAAAGGAGAGAGCGACATACGACTTAGGGTAGGGTTGTGAGAGTAAAACTAGGGATTAGACCTGGGATGTCGATCCGAGAGCTCACTACCCATGTCTAAGGGTTTGACCCTTAGATATCAATACGTGGGAAATGGAGTGGGGTTGTTGAATCTTTGTTGACCTATGTGTGTGCAGGTCTCTGTTTTGATCTACTGCATTCCAAGGAAAAGGTTCTACAGAAAGAACCTAAATTCATGTTATCTTTCGATAACAGGTCGGTTGTTACCAATTCAACTTTTCCCTTTTGACTTGATACCCACCTCTAAAGTCAAACCCTGTGGTCAGTAAAACTATCACCTGTGGTCATTGCCTAAACGGTCCTAGTCACTCTCAAGGGTCCTTTGAAGAAAAGTGAGGGGTTCGGGATTACGTCTCAGGAAAAATAAGGCTGGCATACATTGTTTGGGAAGTGAGGGACAAGGTCAATGGTTGATGGTTGACGTTGTTAGTGCATGGCATGTGAACTGTCTTTGCATCATTCTGTGCAGGTCTGTTTTGTGCGTGATTTTGGATTGAAATGGACCTTATCTGTTGAAGAGTCTCGAACGCACATCACTTGTGAAAGTGGGAAGGGTTCTCGGCGGTAATAACCTCATCCTCGTTATTGTCTTGTATAACTCCTATATTATCCGATATTCAGTTAAGTCATGGTCTGTTAAGAAAGATAGGACACCCTTTGGTAGAAAGATCGTTTGATTGATATTTGTCAAAAGGATAATACATTACGCAAATAGCGAAACTAAACTGCCTTTTTAAAAGTTTGACCTGAATATCCAACGGGTCAGTTCTAGACGTTTTGCCGTGCGTACCCATTTTATGCTACAACGACCAAGCAAACGTGCTCGGCCGACCTACCTCTACAAAGGCATGTAAAAGCCTTCGCATGTGGGCCGGTAGCTCAGCAGGGATACGCCAACCTGAGGGTGGTGACAGCCCTTGCGTAGAGGTAAGTTGTACCTCACGACGTCCCGACCTGTCGTGGGGCGTCGTGAGAGGTATAGCACACGCGTACGGTCGGAGTGGTGACTGTTTGTTCTCTCATAAATAAATCCTGCGTGACACGACCGTGAGGTTCAGCGCTCCCAGCGGGGTGCGGGACCGCCGCGCGAGACAGGTGGCACCGTTGCCGGGGACCTTCGGTTGCCTGCCGGGTCCTATGTGAACGGACCTGGGTCTGGTTAATTGAAACCCTAGCAAAACGACAAGAAGAAGAAGTCGAATGTCATGTAGCTTTCACTAGTTAGTAAGATAGCTAATAGGAATAATTGATGATTTATAAGTAAGAGCTCCTCTTGGGATAAGATGAGTACTAGAGCCTTGTGAACCTTAGTCGACACTTCTATCATTTTCCCAAGGTGGTAGCTGCTCCCGAGTCTGTTGATGGGGGGAGTATGCAAGTGGCGGCCAAGGACCGCGAAGTCTTCATAAAAACAGAGTCGGTAGGGATAGCGGATGAACCGATCGACACCATAGGATTTTACGAGTTCTCGTCGAATCTGCACGAGAGGGTTTTCGACTGTGCTAATTCCTTCCGACCATAATCATTTTCATCTCTACGATGACCTCGCGTATTCCCGCTTTTGAAGTCTTTAATTAAGATCCTCTAGATAAGCAATTAGGTAGATTTTATTACGCCACAGAATTGAGATTCCTTAAATAAAGGTACGTATCGCTATACATAGGTGATACCTTAATCAGTAGGTGGCTAAGATGGTGCGCGAGTAATACCTTTCCCCAGCCATGCCGCGCAGATCAGGAGCTGGAAGGGGAAGAGATGGACGGCAAGGAAAGGCTATAGATAGACCTATTGATTTGACAAAGGAAAGAGAAGAGCGGGAGGAAGAAGAGGAAGAGGAGGAAAAGTGGAAAGGGGTGAGATTGCGTCAACATCAGGAAGACTTGTGCGAACGCACGCCAGGATGGCCTATTATTCATATAAGTACGAGCAGCATTACGACGCTCCGGCCTCACGGTTCGAACTGCCTCCTCGTACTTATCCAATGAAATATACTTCTCCCTCTTCTTCTATGGCACGTCGGCTTCAAGAGTTGACAGTCCTTCCTTAGCCGCCTCGACCTGCTCTTCCGCCGCCGCCGCATGTGCCTGACCCTCCTGTAGTGTCTCACGTTGCACCTGCGGATCATCAACTATGTATCACCCTGGCACTATTCTTCCTATGTCAGATAGAATTATGCAGGTTGATTTCATACCTATTGTACAAAGGGATCATTTAAAGATGTCGTTCCGTCAACACGAAGCTTGACCAGGATAAGTAATGATTTAGTACTTGTCTACGTCATTAGACAAAAACACCCTCAAGGGGGAATAAGTCACGATGATTTTTATACTTCTTCCCTTGTCAGTAACAATACCCATAACGAAGGGGGTATTCGTCTGGGAAGAAAAAAGGGAGTTGAGGAAAGGTGTTGGCACCTCCTTACGGATAAGCGATCTAGATAGGTATGAGGCGATTCCTATGGGTTTTCGTCCTGAATAGGCACAAATTTCTAGTAACATGCCAATGAGTGGAAGACATACCTAGGGATACAAGGGAGTCTAAATATAGATAGAATCAGTAGGGACCCTCATTTGATGTGAGTTCTTAATAAAAGTCTAGTGTTAGGAAGGAGTCAATGTAAGCCGAGTCCATCCGTGGGAGAAATTTAGATGTCGATTTCGTCTATAAGGGGCAGTCAAAGGCTCGTGGTCCTGAGTGCAGTCAGTAAGGCAGTGATGAGTTTGGTGTTGAATCATCCTGTTTATGTTCAACTTGCTGACAAGATTCAGGTATGAGGTTATCTGTTAGAACTCATCTACGCCAAGCTATGTAACACCCGCGGCCTAGTCCGCGGGCATTTCGGTCCCTGCAGCCGAGATATTCGGCTGCGGCAGCAGCCGATGAGGCCCAGTCCGCGAACTGGTTTTTCAATATTTCCCCCCCCCCCCCTAAAAATACGTAAAAATAAGAATAAAAAAAAAATGGGGCTGTACGGCTTGAAAAACCCTACACTCCTATATTTTTTGTTTTGGAATCCAACTTTGTTTAAGATTTTTAAAAAATCAAAAAATAAAATCGATTTAAACCTAGGTTACCAATGGTCCGGAGACCGGACATCTCCACAGGACGTCTCCCCCGGACGTCTCCCCCCCCCGTCGTCCGGATTTCCGAACGACGTCTTTTTAGCACAAAAAAAAAAAAAAAAAAAAAAATTTATGATAGTGTTGCGCATGGCCTAAAGAGCCCCCCCAAAAAAATTCAGATTTTTCTGAGCATTTACTTATAGGGTAGTATTTGGGGGGCGAAGGGGGGGTAGAAGGGGTTTTGGTGGGGATAGGAGGGGTATAGATGGGGAATGAATCTTTAACGATTTTTATTATTTATTCTACTGGCCCAAATGATCCAAAAATTTGGTGGCATACACCTAATGCAAGGTGGAAGCCTAGATGGGGAATGAATCTTTAAAGATTTTTATTATTTATTCTACTGGCCCAAATGATCCAAAAATTTGGTGGCATACACCTAATGCAAGGTGGAAGCCACATGATTTTTTTCAAAAAACAAAAAAACATTTATTTTTTTTTTTATTTTTTTTTGCGCTACGTCGTACATACCCT